TCTGGTGAGTTGAGGATTTTCCTTCTAAAACAAAAATCCTTGAGAATATTTGCGAATTCCGTGCGTTATCAGCAAATCTTTTGGACTTTGGACTCTAGCACTTTAATTCGTGCAACGGAAAATCTGCAAGGTCTCCACCAGGTGTTGCGCGGTATTGCCGTCTGTTGAATCTTTTACGGCTTAACATAAGGCTTTTGTATCTTCACCTCTATGCTGCAAAATGACTTCAACAAAAAACTGTAAAAAATGCGATAAGGCTATCGGCAAGAAGTTGAAGCTGCAGTGTGGTCAGTGTGGGGGCTACTTTCATCTTTTATGCGGCAATGTCACTGAGGTTGATGCTCGAATAATGCGCAATGAAAAAACTCCCTGGAACTGCGCAGGATGCTCAATGGTGGCAGGTGGTCCCAACGGTCGGCTTTCGATTGGAGAACGCAGTAGAAGGGAGTCAGCCCTCTTTACAGCTCACTCTGATGCGAAGGCTGGTTATGATGCTGATGTAAGGGCTTTGATGCGTGAACTCCAAGAGGAGATTAGAGAGATGAGGAGAGCAATGGAATTCTTCAATGAGAAGTATGAGGAGGAGTCTAAGCGGACAAAGGTATTGTCGGATATGGTTTCTGAGGTATCTAAGGATAACCAGGACTTACGAAATGAAGTTAATAGGCTTAAATCTGCCTTGGGGTCACAAGAGAAGTCCAAATTAATGAACAACTAATGCGTCACTGGTCTACTGACAAAACAGGATGAGGGAAACACGCAGGCTGCAAAATGTCAGACAGATTCCAATGAAAACCGGTGTTAAAGCTGTTATAACACTACAATCAGCTGATGTTAAACAAGAAATCTTAAGGGCCCGTTCAAAAAAAGGCAAAATCACACTTTCAAACTCTGGCCTGGATGACTCTGCGCAGTGCATTTTCATTGAGGAGGAGCTTACAAAGGAAACCTATGAGTTGTTTAAAAAAGCTAAGCAGCAGCTCAGAAGCAAAAACTACAAGTTCATATGGCACAGAAATGGTAGAATCCTAGCACGAAAAAATGAGGGCGGTCGTTACGTTATTGTCAAGAATGAGGAGATCCTGGAGGAACTATAATTATTCAAAGTAATGTAATTTTTATTTATTTTTTTTCCCTGTTAATGTTGTAATTTATTTGTTTGTATTATTTTGATTGTGTTTATCTAAAGCAATGGCTGTAACAAGATCTGTAGGCAATTTGTGCATTGGTCATGTCAATATTCGATCGCTTCTTCCGAGCATGGATCACATTCGTAACATATGTGCTGATTTAGGGCTGGATATTTTGGGAATTTCTGAGACCTGGCTCAGTGCTGATGTTCCAACTGCTGAGGTTTCTGTTCAGGGATTTGATTTTCACAGGTTGGATAGAGAGGGGAGAGGTGGGGGTGTAGGGATCTTTATCAGAAATAGTCTCAAGGTGAGCATAATCGAAAACAATGATAAAGGTACAGTACTTGAGCATTTATGGGCTGTGGTGCAAGTTAAACCACTAGTTTTGGGTGTTGGAGTTTTTTACAGACCACCGCGGTATAATGCTCTGGAAGCTAATAATGTTTTGGAAGGTTTCGTTGCCGAAATCGTTCCTCAATGTGATGAAATAATTGTATTGGGTGACCTTAATATTGATCTTTTGAGTCAAAATACTGTAACAAATCACCTTGATAGGTTTTTGGACTCCTTCGGATTTCATCAAATTGTAGTAAACCCCACTCGCTGCCTGGGTGGAAAAAGTAGTTTGCTCGACGTTATTTTTCTATCTGATGATAAGCTTTTAAACGGCAGTGTTAATCACTGTGAAATGCATGATGTGACTGATCATGACCTTGTACACTGTAAACTTAATATAAAGATACCCCCCATAACTCCTAAAATTATTCATTTTAGGGATTATAAATATTTCAATATGGAAACTTTTCAATCAGACTTGGTAAACGCGTGTTGGGGAATGATATTTGATTGTGAGCATGTTGACCAAAAGGTTCAATTGTTAGTTAACATAATCTTAAGCCTCTTTGAAAAGCATGCTCCCTTACGCAAGGTTCGAGTTACCAAACCAAAAGCTCCCTGGTTCACGGACAATCTTGAACTACTAAAACAGTATCGAAATCGATTAATGTCTAGGTACAAGAAAACAAAAAATGTCCGAGACTGGGAAGCATATAAAGATGTTAGGAATTTTTTTACGCAGGCCGTGAGAAATGAAAAAAATCGTATCTCGAGTTCATATCTAGAACTGCAAATAGCAAAAAGTTATGGTACGCACTAGACCAAATGAATGTATATAAAAGCCAAAAGCGTGTTATTCCTGAACTGCCGTCGCATTTGAAGGAACCAAATACAATTAATAATTTTTTCATTGACTCGGTTCGGCAGATATCAGTTCCTATAAACATTGAAATTTTTTTGTCGTATCAGAATAGTATTCACACTTCATGCACAGGTGTACAACGGTTTTCATTCCTTGAATTTACGGATAATGACGTTCTTATAGCTATCCAACAGATAAAGTCGAATGCATCGGGTCCGGATGGTTTAACACTTGATATGCTCAGACTGTGCTGTCCTGTTATTGTTCCTTTTCTTATCCATATTTTCAATGTCTGCATTCAACAATCCGTTTTTCCCACTGAGTGGAAGCAGGCAATTGTACTAGCACATCCAAAAAATAATCAACCGCTAGATTTCAAAGACATACGGCCTATTAGTCTATTGTCAGTTCTTTCAAAAGTCCTTGAAAAACTTCTTTTTGGTCAGCTAAATGCGTATTTGACTGCAAACAAATTATTGCCCTGTTTCCAGTCTGGCTTCTGAAAAGATCATAGCACTGCCTCTGCTCTAATAAAAGTTCTGGATGACATAGTGACTGAAGCTGACAAAGGAAAGACATCTGCCCTTATTTTCCTTGATTACAGTAACGCGTTTGACGTGCTTGATCACGAACTGTGTGGGTGAGAAGGCTGTCAACTTTTTTAGGAGTTACTTGTCTAACCGTGTTCAAAGTGTACAGGTTGACAATGATATATCCACGCCTTTGACTCTTGCAAGTGGTGTTCCGCAGGGGTCGATACTCGGGCCTTTGCTATTTGTCATATTTACAATGGACATGTGTGATCACGTCACTGATAGCAGCATACATCAGTACGCTGATGACACGCAGGTGTACGCTAGTTTCGACAAATACAATGGTGCTGAAGCAAGTGTGAGGCTGAGCAACAGTCTAGAACGCATTTTCGAATACTCGGAAAGAAATGGTCTAAAAATAAATCCCACCAAGTCCGCAATAATGTATTTTGGACCTCATGCAAAGTGGGCGAAAGAAAATATGCGTATTGCCATAAATGGTGTCGTTTTAAGTATAGTATCAGAATATAAAAACTTGGGTGTTGTATTTAACACTGACCTATGCTTCAGGACCCAAATTAGCAAAATATCTCAAAGGTGTTACATCTCTCTTAGAAATTTATACAAGAATAAATACATATTGAATGAGAAGTTAAAAAGAAATCTTTGCGAAACCCTAGTACTTTCGAACTGTAATTATTGTAGTATTGTTTATTCATCATTTCTTGACAGAGCGAGCAGATACAAACTTCAGAAAATTCAAAACTGTTGCATTCGTTTTATATATGGGCTCAGGGCTAGGGATCATGTAAGTTGCAAATTGCGGGAGCTGGGTTGGCTCAATATGCAGGATAGGGCTAAGCTTCACCTAGCTTGTTTTGTTTGGAAGATACTGCGTTGTGGGGTTCCTGAGTATATTAGAAGTAAATTGTGCTTCAGAAATGAGGTGCACAATCGCGATACAAGATATTCTACATGTTTCAGTGTTCCCAAACATAAGACAGCACTATTCCAGCGTTCATTTTCTTGCTCGGTTCCATGCTGTTTAATGGTGACACATGGGGTAGGTCTGACGAAATGTCCTCTCTTCAGGGGTTTCGACTTGCTTTTAGGAGAAAGTTGCTAAGTCGGTATTGACATGACTGTGTTTTTTCTCTATTTTTATTTTTATTTTTTCATCTCTGTTTCAATTTTACTATAAATACTTATGAATAAGGTAAATAATTGTAACAATGTTATTGTAATTTGAATTTGAATGCTCGGTTAAGTGAACAGCTATGCTGCCCTTCGCCGAGTGAAAAATAAAGATCATTTACAAAAACCACCTGAAGATGTCCAAGCAGGTAGGTACATACTTTTATTATTTTTGAACAGATTTAATTGAATTGTCTAAAAATTATCGGATTTCAGATCAAAATATACACGAAATAGTTGATCCAGGACCTAGTATTAATAGTAGTGGTATTGAATTTCCTACAATCAGGGTTTTACGAGATAGAACCAATGTCCCTGAGAAGGTTGTAAGTTCAGATTCCGAGGATGATGACGATTTCGTCGCAGATCCTTCGTATGAACAAAAACCTAACACGCAGCCACACCACGTGTTTTCAGATTTCGATCACGACAGTGATGACGACGATATTGATGATGCTTACATGCAGCCCCAGCCACACCACGTGGTTGGAGATGAGCAAATAAATGATGGAACTTTATTCAATAACTCTACCGGAAGGCAAAAGGAAATTTGAAGAACAAAACAGAGCCCTGAAAAAATTAAACAAAAATAGTAATAAATCGTATAACAACTACAAAGGAAATAAAATTGAGGAAAAGGAATTTAATGACTTTGACTGCAAATGCCCTAAAAAGTGTCCCGAAAATATTTAATCTGACAAAAGAAAACAAATTTTCGATCGATTTTGGTCGTTACATGAATATAACGCACAAACAAATTTTATAGCTGCAAGCGTCACTGAGCTAAAAAAAAAGAGAACCTACGGTAGAGACACAGAGAAAAGAGCTTTTTCCAGAGTATATAAATTGGATGATGTGGTAGTGTGCAAGAATACTTTTATAAAGACGCTTGGAATAACATCCTTTAGGGTAAATACTGCTCTGAAAAAATTTCATAGACGAATGACTTTAACTGACCAAAGAGGAATAGCTGGAGGAAGAAACAAGCTTTCGGAAACCATAGTGCAAAAAGTTGTTGACCAAATAAATAAAATACCTCGATATAAATCGCATTACAGAAGAGAAAAAACGGATTCAGATTTTCTACCACCCGGAACAACAATACAAAAAATGTATGAAGTTTATTGTTCAGAGGAAAATAATCCGATTAGTATTGCTTCCTATAAAATAATTTTTTATAGCAAATTTAACCTAAGAATGAAACCCTTAAAAAAAGATACTTGCAATACTTGTGATAGGTTAAAAATCCAGATGGACAATGAGAAAGACTTTGAAAAGAGAGAAGAACTTAAAGTGAAGCATAGCGAACATTTGGAGCTAGCAGAAGGATCTCAAAAATTACGCAGGCAGCATTTCAAAACAGCCAAGGAAAATGAAGATTATGAGTGCTTGACTTTCGATTTAGAGAAAACTTTACCATTGCCCAGAATACCCACGAACATAGTATTTTACAAGCGCCAGCTTTGGGTCTATAATGCTGGTGTACACAGTGGCAAAAAAGAGCTAGGTTATTGTTATGTTTGGATTGAAGGGGAAGCTGGACGAGGATCCCAAGAAGTGGGTTCCTGTTTACTAAAACACATTCAGCATCAAGTTTCTCCAACTGTTAAACATCTTATTCTCCGGAATGATGTGGTGGTCAAAATCGAAATATCAATATAACTCTTATGTTAAAATCCATTCTGCACAACAGTGTAAATCTAGAGACGATTACTTTAAATTTTTTAGCTTCTGGACACAGCTTTTTGCCTAATGACTCCGATTTTGGTGACATGGAATGTAAACTAAAAACATGTCAACGACTTTACACACCTAATGATTACATTGAAATAATGAAGAATTGCCGAAAGAAAAACCCTCTGATTGTAAATAAAATGAACTCAAGCGATTTTTTCAGCGTAGATCAAATTGAAAAAAGCATCACAAACAGGCGAGATACAGAATCGGGGAACAAAATTAACTGGTTACACATTAAGTCGATCAAATTACAAAAAAATGAGCCTTTCATAATCTTAGTAAAAGAACATAACTTCTTAAATCCTTACCAAGCAGTGAACATTAAAAAAAATAGAAGAGGAAGGAAACCGACTGGCGATACTCCTTTTCCAGCTCTGACGCCTCTTTGGCCGGATGGCAAACCCATAGCCGAAGCAAAACTCAAGAACTTGAACGAAATGCTCCACCTCATACCCTCTGATGCAATAGCTTTTTATACAAACTTAAGAAGCGATAAAAATATTGTTGAAGATGTGGATGGATATGATGTGGAGCAACTCGATTTTAACATGGAAATAGATTAAACTATTGAAGTTACATTGTTTTGTGATACCGGGTTAATATTTTGTCACATTCGATTTAAATAATAAAAAATTGAAAAATCCTTTTGAATTATTTTTTAATATGCAAAAACCAACCAAGCCACAAAAAAACCTGTTTTTCCAAAAAAAATTAATGAAACACCTACCTTCATAAACCAATATAATGGTACGTATTACTAACACTCAATTATTTGGTCTAATTCCTCATAAAATCATACCGGAATTTTTAAAAAGGAAAAACATTAAAATTAAAATATCTCAAAATAATGTTAATGTGGGTTGGTTGCATTTTGCATAACGGACTCCAATTAACATCAAGCTGTCATCATGTCGGAACAGAAAAATATTTCTTCTTCCTTGTAGAAGAGAGGGTATTATTCCTACACATATCATTAATAATACCAAAAATACCAATCTAACTTTAGAATACCATGATAGTCAAAAGTCATCAAATAATTGAATTTACTGTTAAACTTCAAACTAAAATATTAAACTTAGAAATTACTGTTACACATAAACATTTAAATAGTTTAGAATATTCTCAAAGCAAGGTATTTGAGAAATTGGAAGAAATATTACCATATGGAACTTTAGATACTTTTTTCTCTTCACAAAACGATTCTTATGAACGAAAATTTAAAAAAAACAAATTGAACAATCTAGATAAACTCAATCGGTTAAAAGAAAAAGCCAAATCTATACTCCTAAAAACGAAAGATGGCTGGATCAAAAATCTTTATGATAATGAAATTCCTGAAGATGTATTGCAGTTTCTTTCCCTAGGTCACAATTCTAGTGTTAGTCCAACAGTTATTTCAATTAAACAATATCTTTCTAATATAGGGAAGATACCATTGTCCAGAAAAAAGTAAGAATATAATAAGATCGAAAATTACAAATGTCCTAACAAATTTTGTTCATACACCTACTACTTTCAACTTTCTCCAAATTCTTTTCCGTAAAACAAAACGATTTTTTAAATTACATACAGACCTTATTATTACACGATCAGATAAAGATAATGTTACAGTCATAATGAAAAAAGAATTATACATAGAAAAATGTAATGATTTACTCAGTGATGGAAGTAGTTATAAAAAACTCAACAGAGATCCAACTTCTACCTTCCAACAAAAAGCAAACAAATTAGTGTCATCTTTATTGAAACAAAAAATTATCACAAATAAATGCATACAGTAAAAATAATAGATATTACATAACTGATTCTTTTGAATTTTCAGAACTTGTCAATGATATGGGTATACCTACCAATTATATAGTTATAAGCCTTGACGTAGTGTCTTTATTTAGTAAAATACCTTACTACTTAATAGAAAAAAGCATTAAAAAACACTGGTCGAATATTTCTGATCATACTAATATTTCTCAAAAACAATTTCTTGAAATATTACAATTTATTTTTGATTCAACCTATTTCAGATTTCAAAATATTTTTCATAAACAGATTTTAGGCACACCCATGGGTGCTACAATGTCTCCTATTATCGCTCAGTATATGGATGATCTTTTAGACGAATGTATTCCAAAACTTTCTTTTGATATGCCTTTCATTAAAAAATACGTTGATGATTTAATCTGTGCAATTCCACGTGACCAGCTTACAGAACTCATTTCAACATTTAACGGTTATGATACTAATATTCAGTTCACAATTGAAACTGAAAATAATCAAAGTGTACCTTTTCTTGATACTCTAGTAAAAAAAAATGATCAGAATAAAATCCAACTTGATTGGTATTCTAAACCAACAAGCTCAGGCAGATATATCAATTTCAATTCGTACCATACAACAAAAATGAAAATAAATGTTATATTAGGATTACGCCGAAGAATTGAAAGAATTTCCCATCCTGAATTTAAAGAAAACAACATAAAAAAACTTTATAATATAATGAAAGATAATTCTTACCCAGATGCTTTTCTCAAAAAATATTTATATAATACGTCACTTATAACAAATACCTCTACAGAGAATAACCAACAAAGTAATAATAAGATTCAAAAGAAAATATATTATTTTGCATTACCTTATATTAAAAGTGTCTCACAAAAAGTAATTAAAATATTAGAAATTATCCCAGATATAAAAATTGCACATAAACATGACAAGAAAATAGGAAATGTATACTGTAAAGTCAAAGACAAAGATGAAACTTTAAAACAATCTTCAGTCGTTTATAAAATTCCCTGCGAACAGTGTAATCAAGTCTATATCCGTCAAACATCAACTGTATTGAAAGATAGGATAACTCGACATAAAAGTGATTGTAGACGAACTATTCTTTCTTGTACTCTTCCAGAACATTCAACTAAAAAAGGACATGATTTTGATTTTGAAAATTCCCAAGTGATAATTCAGGAACAAAATTTAAATAAACGTTTATTTTTAGAAATGGTAGAGATCTCTCAAGAACTTTTATGCCTAAATAAAAGAAAGGACATTCAAGATCTTAGCAATATATATTCGAACTTACTAACATCTAATTAAAGGACCCCGTACACTTCTTATGGGATTTTGGTTGAACGCGGAATTTAACCAAATTTTCGTATGTTGTATATTTCGACCTGCTGAGTAAAAGTTCTCATGGGTACAAACCGATCCTATGACTAGTTTCGGATATACAGGGGGTTTTCCAATACTACCTTAGGCATAAGTACCTATATAAAGTGTGCATAAAGCAAAACAACTTGCATGTATTGCTTTAAAAGCTGTTTATTTCATCTTTTCTTAACTAAAAATGTTTAGTAGGTGTTCGTAACTCTTCCTTTATATATCAGAGGCGCTCAAAAACTATGGCTATTACTAAGCTAATTTAGTTAATGATCAAAAATGTTCAAAAGTGTGAAAAATTGTGTACTTGTAGGTCCTCAGGTACCTACGTTTTGTGATAAAAGTGACTTTCTATCTCAATGAATTCCAGTTCTCGCTACGCTTATGCTAAAAACTTTTTGCCTCATGATTCCTTGGCCTATATATGGTTTAAGTGTTTAGTTATTAGGTATACATATTGTCCGTCGATTTTAATCTGATACTCGGACGGAATGTGAGCTGCTGGCACCCTACATTAGAACGCCAATGGTTACCTGACGTCACACCGGGTTTTGCCATATCAAACACCCCCTCGCTCCTCATACGGAAAGTGTCAGTTAAAAATCGACGAACAATACACTTGGTGATTTGTTTGAAAAATCTAAACAGCCATGGAAAGAAAAGTAATGGAAATTGTTTTTTCATATGTCATATTTCACTTGGTAACCATGAAAGTCAAAACAGTGACCCTGTCAATAAAGCAAGTTGTCTTTTTTGTCACCTTTCTTGTGGAAATGGCAATTCGGGAAAGGTAATGTGCTACATGTGCAATGAAGGACTAGAGTAAGAGTAAATCGCACTGTTTTATTACTGAAAGATGCCGAAGTCCGTAGATTGGCTGTAAAGCGTCAAAACGAGTTAGGATTTGAGAATGAAAATCTTATTGTTGAGAACTCAAGGTGGATTTTCACATTGAAAACTTTGAAACATAATAACGCTTGGCCCTGATTGGTCGGAAAATGAGGTGTCCCTGCAGGTTGTAATCAGTTTTAAAATGCATGAGGTGCAAATGGCATCTTGCGACCAATAAGCGGCATTGTTTATGTTTCAGAGTTGACAGTGGCAAGTCAAAATCTATTTTGAGAAAAAATACAGTATATAGTTTGTCATACTTCTATTTGTGTTTGTTTTAAAAACACACAAAGGCCCACCAAACAAGTACTTTTCAAAACACCCTCGTACATTCACATATATAGGCACCTAACTAAAAACATGCACCTTTTTGTAAAAGGTCTAAACATAATCAACATTTTTTAAAGCTACCTACCACAAATAAATGCAAAAAGCATGAAAATTCAGTATTTTCAGGTTGCCTGAGGTAGTATTAGAGAAACCCCCGTATATCCGAAACTAGTCATAGGATCGGTTTGTACCCATGAGAACTTTTACTCAGGAGGTCGAAATATACAACATACCAAAATTTGGTTAAATTCCGCGTTCAACCAAAATCCCATAAGAAGTGTGCCATACCATGCAAAATCAATGTCTATAAGAAACTAGACTTTACATCCTTCAAATTTCATTTTACAAATTCTTTCACTCTCTTCCTTTTTTCTTATACCAATTATTGTATACTAATTATTTTTCCATATTTTTTAACATTTTATATTCTGTTTAGTTTGATAGTAATAACTCATAACAATTTTCCGGCAATTTGAAAGCTTTTCAACTATAAATGCTCACTTTGCAAGTAAGTTCATCCATACCACCACTTACAGATAAAAATAATCACT